TCTCTCTCCTCCTCCCCCTTAATAAATCAAGTTTCTCTGACCATCCTAGGTTACCCCTCCCCCCTTCCCTTCCTCCTTCATTGGTCAAGTTTCTCTGAAAGTTTACTGGATCTCATTTTTCCTTCTGAATGGAAACAGGAACTTTAGCTAAAGAGTCTTATCCATCAATATATGACCCTGCAAGGTTAGTGTACAATTCATCTCTGTACTCATCTGTCTTCACACTAACCATGTTGGTCAAGTGTTGTGATTCCATTCCTAGGAATACTCCATGATCCCCATTTCCCCTCATTTCCAAACCTTCCACAGACACGGAAAGTGTATGACACATGTGGCTCAAGATCTGTGACTAAATGTGATGATTCTTCACCACAGTATACTGTACTGAACACTGAGTTGCTGTTTCCTTTGTTGTCAGTGCGACAACACTGTAGCATGTATTCTTGAACTCCACTGTAATCTGTGATTGATTCACTGTCTGAAAATGTCTGTAAACAAAAACAATTCTCAGGATTACAGGCAAAATCAGTTAGATACTTGCTTGGTTAACAACCCTTACAATGATGGACTAATGAAAATAAAGAACAGTGGTATGACACCAAATCATGTCAAATACAATACTCTTGCCTGGTAGATAACATACATTTACTGTACCTCATCATACCACTGCACAAGGATGGCTCCAGGCTGCTCGGACAGTTCAGTTACTTGAAGTGTGCCAGTCATGGACATTTCTCCCAAAGAATTGACAGCCTCTAGAACTGACTGGGTGTGACTCTCGCTGAACATTACAGAAAGAGTTTGTGATATACATGGTGTGTCAGGATACCTGTGGGTGAAATGAGTAAATAAATTTCCTTCAAATTAATTTCTTATGAAACAGTCAGGGCTTCAAGCTCAATTTTTTTCAAATTAACCACTAGGTAACTTAAAATAGTAAAGGTGTCACCAGAGATAAAATTTTAGTTGTCAGGAGAAAAATTTAGCTGGAAATAATACTAGGAAAATCTGGATACTTCTGGTAAAATGGCAACTATCAATGAAAACTCTGTGAAGTATACTGAGGTTAAAAAAGCTTAACTCATGCCTATGAGGCCTGCCAGTGTGACTGTCACATATGTACATGTAGCACAACTCCAGGAGAGGATTCTCAATTAGTGCAATTAATCCCTACCAACATTTCACCTTGATAGTATCAAAAGGCCTCCATAACTACCCCACTAAGCTTTGAACCATTCTACACACAGGAATGAATTCAGAACTTCTAGCATACAAGTAGCAAGTGACCACCTTATTTAGGCAGCTAGAGTTACCAAAATTTTGTACAAGACTGTGATAACTAAGCTGAGAAACTCTCGATATATCTTGCAATTGACCACGAAGGCTTAAAATATTAGGTGTTTGGTTATGGGAAGTTCAACTTTGAATCATCTTCATCTAATGCAGAACACAGAAGTGTTGGTCAAATTCATTGGAAAACACCATGTGTAGTCTAACCTTATAGATGAAATTTGCAGCTCATTATTCAAGTTCTTTCCTTCACTTAGGAGAGTGGCATCATCCTCAT